CTCCTTTCCTCTCTGAAAAAAAAAATCAGTAAAACATATTTAAAAAAAATAAAATGCAATGTAACCATGATGAGTGCTCGGGTTACAGGTTCAATTAATCCCTCGTAGGAGGCGTGCAGAAGGCAGCTGATCCATGATTCTTTTTCATCATGGATGTCTGTCTCTCTCTCTCTCTCTCTCTCTCTCCTCTCTCTCTCTCTCTCTCTCCTTTTTGCTGTAAAAATATGTACACGGGGTGGCCAGAGGAGGGGGGGTCTCTGAGCGCAGAGCCGTCCGGCCGCCCCGGGTCCGTCCTGTAGGATAAAAGGCGAATGACAGGCACAGGGTCCCCTCGACCGGGAGTCCGACCAGCAGGCAGGCCGGCCGGCCGCCCACGTCCCCGGCCCCTGGCCAGGCCGGCCGGACCCCACCCAGGCACGGATTCAGGCACCGGGCGTCTAAGCTACCTATCTATCTATCTCTCTCTCTCTCTCTCTCTCTCTCTCTCTCTCTATCTCTCTATCTCTCTACCTCCCTATCTATCTCTCTATCTCTCTATCTCTATCTCTATTATATCTCTCTCTCTCTCTCTCTCTCTCTCTCTCTCTATCTCTCTCTCTATCTCTATCTCTATCTCTGTCTCTCTATCTCTCTACCTCCCTATCTATCTCTCTATCTCTATCTCTATTATCTCTATCTCTCTCTCTATCTCTACCTCTCTCTCTCTCTCTCTCTATCTATCTCTTTCTCTATCTCTCTATCTCTCCATGTCTATCTCTATCTTTCTATCTCTCTATCTCTCTATCTCTATCTCTATCTCTATTTCTATCATCTCTATCTCTATCTCTATCTCTATCCATATCTATCTATCTTTGTATCTCTATATCTATATCTATACCTATATCTATATCTGTATCTGTATCTGTATCTATATCTCTCTATCTCTCTATCTCTATCTCTATCTCTCTATCTCTATCTCTGTCTATCTCTCTATCTCTATCTCTCTATCTCTATCTCTCTATCTCTATCTCTCTATCTCTCTGTCTATCTCTATATCTCTATCTCTATCACTATATCTATATGTCTATGTCCATCTATATCTATATCTGTATCTGTATTTGTATCTGTATCTGTATCTATATCTATCTCTCTATCTCTCTATCTCTATCTCTATCTCTACATCTATTTGTATATCTATACCTATAAATCTATATCTACATATCTATATCTATATCTATATCTATATCTATATCTATGTCTATATCTATATCTATATCTTCTATATCTATATCATCTATATCTATATCTTCTATATCTATACCTATACCTATACCTATACCTATACCTATACCTATATCTCTATATCTATATCTATATCTATATCATCTATATCTATATCTATATCTCCCTATATCTATATCTATATCTATATCTATACCTATACCTATACCTATATCTACATCTATATCTATATCTATAGCTTCTATATCTATATCTATATCTATATCTATATCTATATCTATATCTATATCTATACTATACCTATACCTATACCTATACCTATACCTATATCTATATCTATATCTATATCTATATCTATATCTATATCTATATCTCCTATATCTATATCTATATCTATATCTATATCTATATCTATATCTATACCTATACCTATATCTATATCTATATCTATATCTATATCTATATCTATATCTATATTTATACCTATATCTATATCATCTATATCTATATCTATATCTATACCTATACCTATACCTATATCTATATCTATATCTATATCTATATCTATATCTATATCTATATCTATGTCTATATCATCTATATCTATATCATCTACATCCATGTCCATGTCTATAAAACTATATCTATTCAGACCAGGGGGCCGAACCATTCAGCTCGCCCTGAGTCTATCCATGCGTCGCTCTGGCGTGTATTTGAACCCGGATCATAACAAAGGCGAATTATTTATGACGCTAGAGACCCGGTGCATGAATCCGTGCCCCCGTGGGGTCCCCCGGCCCCGGCCTGCAGGGGATCGGGGCCGACACCGGCTCTCCGGCGCCCTCCCGAGGGGTCCCGGACGGCGGGAGGGCGCAGGCCAGGCCGGGGGCCCCCCGGGGCAGGATCGGGGCCGGGGAGGGACGGGAGGTGGGCCGGCCGGGGAGGGACCGAGGGGGGCTCCAGGGCATGTCCGGCCCCCAATTGGCCGGACCCCAGCGGCAAGCTGGCCTGCTGGTCGGAGCGTCTGTCCCCTGGTGGTCAGTGCACGTCATAGCGACCGGTCACCTGCTCGGCTGTCTGTCCCCTGGTGGTCAATGCACGTCATAGCGACCGGTCGGCCGGTCGGCTGCCTGCCCCCTGGTGGTCAGTGCCCGTCATAGCGACCGGTCGGCCGGTCGGCTGCCTGCCCCCTGGTGGTCAGTGCACTTCATAGCGACTGGTCAACCGGTCGACTGTCTGCTCCCTGGTGGTCAGTGCAGCCCATAGCGACTGGTCGGCCGCTCGACGGTCCGCCCCCTGGTGGTCAGTGCACGTCATAGCGAGCGGTTGAGCGGCCTTCGCATATCATTAGCCTATGACACTCCGATTGGTTGAACAGCCGACCGGACGACCGGACGACCGGCCATTTGCATATTGTCATCGACCTTTCTAGCTCGTTCTCCCTCTCCCTTCCTCTCTGTCCCCCCCCCAAAAAAAAAATCTTTTAAAAAATATATTTTAAAAAATTTTTTAAAAAAAGAGCAAATTCTGTTTCTCTGTCTGTTATTTCCCCAGCTCCGTCTCTCTCTCTCTCTCTCTCTTTCTCTCTCTCTCTCTCTCTCTCTCAGTTCTCGTTGCCAAGGGGATATTTTCGCCCCCGGTGCCAGCTGCAGCGAGGAATCGGGCACACGCAAGGACATGCGTGCCTTGATCATGCAAACACAGCCGCATGCAGCGGGAAAATGAATTCCATGTTCGCTCTCTCCCTG